GCAGGTGGTGAGGCGAGGAGCGGGGAGGAGCCGGGAGGGCGCCGTGGAGGAAGCCCGAGAGGAGAGGACCGGAGGGTGAGCCCAGCCGACTGAACGGAGGACGAGGGTGAGTGAACCGGGTATGGAGCAACGACGATCAAGCGAGGATGGGTTAATTTCCATACTGAATTATTTTATTCTGCTTTTGATAGGAACTAACTTATTTTAATCCCTATATTTTACACCAGGGCTACAGACAGTATGAGGGCACTTTTATGATAAAATGAGATCGGGTCCAGGTGGATCATTGTGGACGTGGAAATGACGACACCACGTGACTGTCTGCTCATAGCCATTTAAATTAAATTTATCATCTGCTGTATTCAAAGAAAAAGCAGTTTAATAAAATATAAGACTGTGTTTTCAGTTTGTCTGTCTGTCCTTCTGTCTTTAGCACAGATGTCCACTTGGACTCGAAGATGAACTGATTAGAGTTTGGGGGGTCAAAGTTCACTCTGACCTCAAAATGACCTCGAAAAACTTCAGTTGCTTCCCCAAGTTGACTTTTTGCTCCCAGTCTTGTGTTATTGCTAGCAGGTCAGATGAGGTGGTCTTGGCAGCTGATGTTAGCTTCTCCCCAGCCCTGACTTTAAAGGGGCTATATGTAAGTTTGTCAAAGAAATGAATCAAATTTTCATTGCCTTATTGTCAATGGGCTCAAAACTCACTTATAAATGAAGCACACGCCTGTTTTCTCCGTTGCTCGCATCAGCCACTATTCTGCTTTTAACGTGGGGACCCCGGGTCGGAATCAGCCCTGTGCGCGACCACACGGCAGCTAACGACATGCAGTCCACTAACACCATAAAACAACCGTCTCACAGCAAAACACAGACTCCATGTAAGGACATAAAACAACATGACTTAATAAATCTTTATTTTACTGCAAACACCTTGCCTACAGTCTGTATTTGGGTCCACACCTCAGTTCTCCGCTTCTGCACTCAGCTGCCCATGACAGATGTACCTTGACCTTGGAGTTGACCTCTAATGTCTGTGGAAGTTGTTCTGGGCTCTTTGGTTACCATTCGTGTTATCTGTCTCTTTGATTGGTCATTAATTTTCCTCTTGGGGCCATGTCCAGGGAGGTTGGCTACAGCCCTGTGGACCTTTAAACTTCTGAATAATATGTGCAACTGCAGTCACAGGAACATCAAGCTGCTTGGAGATGGTCTTACAGCTTTTACCTTTAACATGCTTGTCTATAATTTTCTTTGTGACCATTGTGGGTTTTTCTTTCTTTCACAAAAGGGTACAAACACGTCTGTATATCAGGTTTTACAGTCGTTTCCAAGGTTCCTGAGTTTAGAGATAAGTCGGTGCCAGTTGAGGGCAGGTCTTGGTGAATTTTGTCTCTAATTGTTAGAATTTTATCATTAAAGAAGCTCATGAAGTCGTAACTACTGAGAGCTATGGGAATACTTGGCTCAATAGAGCTGTGACTCTCTGTCAGCCTGGCTACAGTGCTGAAAAGAAACCTGGGGTTGTTCCTATTTTCCTCTATTAATGACGAGTAGTACGCTGCTCTGGCATTACGGAGGGCCTTCCTATAAGTTTTAAGACTATCTTGCCAAATTAAATGAGAATTTTCCAGATTTCAAGTTTCCGCGATATTTGCTTTAATTTGCGAGTTTCAGTATTATACCATGGAGCTAACCGTCTTTGTTTTATTATCTTGTTTTTTAGAGGGGCTACAGAGTCGAGTGTCATTCGCAGCGAGCCTGCAGCACTATCAACAAGATGATCGATTTGGGAGGGACTGAAATTAGCACAGAGTCCTCTGTTAAATTGAGACATGATTATGAATAAAGATTGAATCACATCCTTAAAATTAGCTACAGCACTATCAGATAGACGTCGTATAGAAGTTTTTGCCTAATGGCGTGTAGTTCAGCAATAGCAAGTGGAAAGTTACCAAATAGTGGTCAGATAAAAAGAAATTTTGTGGGAAATTCACAATATTAATATTTACATTTAGCTGACGCTTTTATCCAAAGCGACTTACAATTCACATCTGGAGCAACTAGGGGTTAAGTGTCTTGCTCAGGGACGCATTGGTGGACGTGTCACAGTGGGGAATCTCATGGAGTGGAGAGGTCTGATGTTTAAGAGTCCACATTTAATTTTCCTATTCGTTTGCACTATTGCTCTTGTGGTTTTAATTTTTATGCACAGCTCCTCTTCTGTTTACCTTTGATTTAAATAATTTCGATGGTGGGGGGGCAGACACCGTCACTATAGGATTTTCACTAAGTAACTCCTGAAATGGAGGAGCAGAGAAGTGTGTTAGACTGCGACTCTGCGTAGGGTTTTGGGTGGGTAACTGCTGAAAAAGAAGGGCAGAGAAGTGTGTTAAACTGCGACTCTGCCTCCTGGTCTCAACTCTGGGTTGTCATGGATTTGGTCCACTAATAAACTTGACCAGATTTCTAGAAATGAGAGCTGCTCCTTCCCAAGTGGGATGGATGCCGTCTCTCCGGATCAGACCAGGTCTTCCCCAGAAAGTCTGCCAATGATCTACAAAGCCCACATTGTTTGCTGGACACCACCTCGACAACCAGCGGCGGAATGACGACATGCGGCTATACATGTCATCACTGGTCAGATTTGGCAGGGGTCCAGAGAAAACTACGGTGTCCGACATTGTTTTTGCATATGTACACACCGACTCAACATTAATCTTAGTGACCTCCGATTGGCGTAACCGGGAGTCATTACCGCCGACGTGAATAACAATCTTACTGTATTTACGTTTATCCTTAGCCAGCAGTTTCAAATAAGACTCAGTGTCGCCCGCTCTGGCCCCAGGGATGCACTTAACTATGGCCGCTGGCTTCGCTAACTTCACTTTTCTCAAAATGGAGCTGCCAATGATCAGAGTTGGTTTCTCAGCGGGTGTGTCGCTGAGTGGGGAAAATCTGTTGAACGTGAACAGGTTGATGGTGCCCCGTGGACTTTGAATGCTTACGACTATTCCTCCTTCGGACAGTCACCCAGCCCCCCCTTCCTGGCTGCACAGGAGATGCCGGAGGACGGCTACCAGAGGCTAACTCAGGCCGTTCCACACCGACTACCAGGGACTGGCTAGCTACAGGAGCTAAAGACTGATCTACCAAGGTCCTAAATCACTGAGCCTCGCCTCCATGTCTACAAATAAACTACACTTATTACACATACCATTACCGCTAAAGGAGGCAGAGGAGTAACTGAACATCTGACACACCGAGCAGGAGAAAGTAGGAGAGAGAGAGGGAGAAGGAGAAGCCATCGCTAGCTGCTAAGCTAAAGTCGCTAACGGCTAAGCTAAAGTACTGTAGCGTCAGCTACCAAAACTTTAGAACAACTATGAGATTGAACAGCAGTCACTAAAAGATGGAAAGAACTGTGAGTGCTTAGGCAAAATTACTGTAAAGAATAAGTGTTTAGCGGACAGTTGGCCGCTGTAATCTAACAAACGTAACTGGTATTTAGCGAGAGCAGCACAACACGGTACCAACACACAAGCACCGGAAACGGAAATGAGTCGACACGCTTACCGCAGTACGTCAGCAACGTGTATGTGTACGTGTTGCAGGTGTATAAGCTACATCCATCCATCCATCCATCCATCCATCATCAACCAGTTATCCTGCTTACAGGGTCGGGGGGGGCTGGAGCCAAGCTTACCATGGGCAAAAGGCGGGGTACACCCTGGACAGGTCGCCAGTCCATCACAGGTGTATAAGCTACAAACACTTTTAATGATTTAAGTAAACTAATTAAAGGCATCATTTGGTATATTTAGAGCAGAAATGGAGAGATTTTGTAGCCTATCTTGTGTTTTCCTGCTGTATCGAGATGCTAAATGTCTATTGGATGCCACTTCATAATAATTGTCTTTTGGTCATTGATTTTAAATAAAAACTGAGCAGTAATACGAGGAGAAATACACAGTAAATTGTGTTTGGCTTGTATTTTTTAAATGGCAAAAAAGTACAGCATTGACGATATCCTGATTATGGATGGCAATCCAGGTGACATGGAGCAGTGAGGGGAAGATGATGATGATGATGATAAAAGGCTCAAAACATGTTGTGTTCTGCATGTTTATTGTTGTTTGAAAACAACATGATGTGGGCAAAACATTGCAATAAAGTCCGAATGTATCGAAAATGATGCAAGACAAAACTCATACATGCAAAGAGCTGTTCAAAATGTTGCTATGCTATGACAGGATTATTCTGATTAGGTAAACCTCTAATCAGAGGGGTATTTCCTGTACAGGAGAGTTTAATTTTGAAATCTGCTGAGCTCATGTTACTTTATCTTCACAAACATTGGTTACATTTAATCGGTTTAGCCTAAATACAGGTTTGACTTGCACTGTTGTTCATTAACGTAGTTACATTGCTCGTGACTGCATGTGGATGTAGCTACAAGCCAAGGAACTGACTCAAGGTTATTTGTGTTGCCTCAGAGAGCATAACAGGCCCACAACAGCAGACATCCCTAACCTGGCCCAAATTCAAAAAAGATAAGCACACCTGTTGTAAACAGCTGGAGGGCAGAATATAGATGAACTCACAAAATAGACCCAATCTTGGAAAGTGGTGTAGTGAAGTTTTAACGTGTGGCTCAAAGAACAGACAAAATGAAAACAAATGAGAACAAAAATAGATTCCTATTCTTCAATGTCTTAAAGAAGTTCTAAGCTTTTCACTCAAAGGACATTTTTATTACATTAATTCATTTAGCTGACGCTTTTGTCCAAAGCAACTTACAATTGCTCTATATGTCAGAGGTCGCACGCCTCTGGAGCAACGAGGGGTTAAGTGTCTTGCTCAGGGACACAATGGTGGATAGGTCACAGTGGGAACTGAACCCAGATCTCCCACGCCAAAGGCAAGCATCTTATCTATGCGCCATCACCACCCTTCAGGCTACACAAAACACATCACAGCCCCTATAATACCAGACTCTGCGACTTAAACAGCTTGTAACAGTACTTTGAACGATCTGCGCTTGCTGGGATTGGTCGATCTCTCTTACGCAAGAGGCCCTTTTGTGGTTGGATGGTTTCTGGTGTTCATTCAGTCAGAGCGTGTGTGATACATGCATGGCAGTCTTCCTGCCTCTTCACAGAACACACCATATATGGCTTCTTTTTGACATTCAACAACAGCTCACAGCTCACCCATATACCCACAATGCACTCTCTATTTAGTCCAAGCTTTACACTGAGCTCAGCAATATATCATCATAAACTGATCAAACCAAGCAGCTGAGCACAGCGGATATATATGGGCCAGTAGGGGCCTGCTGCGCCTACTGGTAGGCTCAGAAGGCTGTTATCATCCATCCACATGGTTAATCACCGACAAATACAAGAGAAGACTCCAGATCCAATACCAGAGGAATCCAGCTCGCCGGTAATCGGAGGTCTACTGAATGACGCAGCAACGTTGCAATATTTCGCGCTTGATATTTTCAGGTAAGAACATTTAAATGATAAAACCGAGCATTTTAACGGAAATTAATTAGTCAATAAGGGAAAACAATACATAAAATGTGTTTTAATGTTGCGTGACATGAGTGTTGACATGAGATAAGCGTATTGCGATTATTTTGTAAACGTTATATAGGCTAACGTTAGGCCCTATTACGTTACGTTATTAGCCTATCATTACGTTACTTACTTGCTTTATTTGAGCATTAACGTTGCTAATAAGCATGTTTTTACGTATGAAGCTAATGGGGAAATTTAGTTTCTAGTTAAACGCAAAGTTAGCCTGTAAAAATTACTTTTTCCACACTGTAAGGCTTATTGCATAATATTGTATGCTCGTTAACGCTTCAGTGAAGCCATAGGCCTAACCTTACTTTTATTGACATATCTATGGCACCAAATACATATCCCTTGTCTGCATCCCATGTTCACTGATGTGTTTCTGTCTTTTAGGCTGTGATAAGAAGTACAGGTTGCACTTTGCTTTATGTAATAATTGCCAAATATTTTGATTTCAGATATGGGAAAAACAGTTAAGACCACACGTTCCAGGAGCGTTAAGATTAAGGTGGTGAGGAGGTGTATCGTTGGCCCTGCAAAGGTTTCTTACCTTAGTCAAGGTCTTCCCCAGCCCAACTCCAAACAGACCGACCCGACTATTACATCTCAACAGGCTGAACCCGATGATGTGGCACCGAGCTGTAGTTCTTGTTCTGAGAGTGCATACAGTAAGGCAAAGAAGAGAGAGCTACATGCCTGGGATGCAGTCAAGGATGACATGCTTAAGGTGTCATTTGAATGTTCAGCACCAATCGCTACCCAGTGTGTTGTCTGTCTAGAACATGCTGATTACAGGTGCATTGAGTGCAGCAGCACTGCAGTGTTTTGTGAGGGTTGTCTGAAGAGGACTCACAGAAATTCACTGCATCTTTCTGATAAGTGGAATGTAAGAACAATACCATGCAGTCATACACACAGGCAACAAACTCACAGTAATTTCAACAGATTTATTAGATACTTCAAATTGTTCTAGCATTATGTATTATCAACTGTTAGTGTCACGAGTTTGTAGTTTTAAAAAGATTGTTAGAGCTATCAATCTTTCTTACAGAATGTCTACTATGAGCCATCCTCCCTGGGGTTATTCCTATATTTACCTGAAGGCCATAGCACCCATGCTGTGTACACAAAGGACATGAAGGTCATTGTCAGCACAGGTTTGTCATTTTACATGATCTTTTACATGACAGAATCTTAATGTATTTAATTTTCTTGACAGGTTAAGGAATTCGGTCCTATACATGTGTAGTAATGATTTCCTATAAGGAATTAATCAAATGTCTGATACAATTTTGTAAAAAAAAAAGTTGTTTGCTGATTTATGGTGTTGTAGGTGACACACTCAAGTGATTTAGTCTATGCTGATATGTTAGTCTCTATAGTAGTACTTGTTTATGTTTTTTCTAATATATATATTTCCCTCTTTTTATTTGGCAGGACGGCTCTGCACCGTCACAGTCAATATGTGTGCATGTGAACCAGAAACCTGTACTTTGCTCAGGTATGGTCTCTGGCCGGCAATAGCCGACAAGCCCCACACAGCCTTCTCCATACCTCTGCTAGAGCTTTTTGTTTGTCTGTCACTGGAGTGTCAGGTTTCTGTTGAGGGTTTTTGCAACACCCTGCGCTGGAAAAACAACCTCACACTTGCAGAGGTCAGTTTAAAGTCTTGCCTGTGAAGTGAAAATTTCAGTTATGGCGCTTTTCCACTACACAGTACCAGCTCGCCTCGGCTCGACTCGACTCAGCTCGGCTTTGTTTGGTTTTCCACTGTGTCAAAGTTGTACCTGTACCTGCTTTCGGGTACTTTTTTTCGTACCACCTCCGGCGAGGTTCTAAGCGAGCTGAGGTGATACTAAAATGTGACGTGAAAACATGGCAGACTGCTGATTGGTCAGAGAGAATCGTCACCATTCACTGCGTCATTATTGCACGCGCCAGACGGGAGTTTCCTGAATAAAAAACAGCAAAAATAAAAACATCCAAAAACAGCACACACTCGATTTCCTCCATTGTCCTGTGTGTTTGGGTAGCGGGTGCCTCGCGTAGAAGATTAAGTCATGGCATTTTCCTGCAGCGTCGCTATGACGACCAGGTACTATTGTGGAGGTACTATCTGCAATGGAAAACGGAGCGAAAAGCGAGCCGAGGTGAGTCGAGTCGAGCCGAGCCGAGGCGAGCTGGTACTGTGTAGTGGAAAAGCGCCATTACTGTACTTTCATGGAAGACCGATTCCATATGGTTGTGAAAATTACACATTCTTCCTTGATTGTACTGCATTATTAATTATCACAACTTAAAGTATGTAACCATATAGTACTGTACATTTGCATGCAAAAGTATTCTTAAAAGTTTTCTATCAAAATAACAACTTCTGAGTGAACCACCATCACCAGATGTAAGTATAGGAAACAGTAATGTTTTCACTGACTGCTGCTTATACCCTAGGTTAACACACTCTACAGAGCCCTGGTGGGAGAATCCATATCCCATTTTAGGCATCACCACAAAGAAGTTTGGTAGATATTTGCCCACAATTAGATGATGGGACCATATGCCCAGCATGCCCAAAGGTTGGTTCTAGCTCCAGCGTGGTTCTTGTTCGATTAACCTGATTGCATTTTCCATGACCTAATGGCATTGAATTGATATCTGAAAACTTACTTAATTTTTGGGTACTTTCCTGTTATCCGGATCCCACGTGTTTCTTTAATGCCGCGTTCCAGGCAACCTGTAACCCGTGTTTTTCCAACTCGTAACTGGTAGTACATCGATCTAGTACGAGTTCACGGGTTTGACTGCCGTTCCAGTACACTTTCACGGGTATAAGGTTGGAAAAACACGGGTTACAGGTTGCCTGGAACGCGGCATTAGTCCCGTATAGTCCGTATAGTCATCCCTGATTGGTCTTAACCCTAGTGACGGGTAGGTTTAGGGGCGGGGTTAGGGGTAGGCCATCGTGGGGTCCGGATAACAGGAAAGTACCAATTTTTGTATAAAGTATAAAAATATAATAAAATTGTATTCGTATAAATGTATAAACCTGATGCAGATACAGGATTACTGTAAGTGTTTGTTTTCCAGGCGGATGGGGATATGATTGTTACATTGGATGCCAACTTTGGCCTTGTGAGGAAGCACAGCTCAGGTACAAGTGCGGTTGAGCCATTACACGGAACCCGCATGTTTGTTAATGAAAAGGATGTAGAGGAATACCTGCTATCACATCTTGACAGCTCAAAGCCTCACGAGGTTAGTCTTAGTTGTAGAATTTCATGGACTGTGTCCATGAAATATTAATGAAATATTTAATTAATCATTATTCCTCCCATAAATCTATGTTTTCCTTAAATCTTTAGGACTGCAGTAACTTCAAGGCTGGCAACGTGCTGAGGTCACAAAAACAAGCAAATAAACTTGATGTTACAGGAGTGTTTGGAGCCTCTTGTCGTCATGAAATGCCCCTAATGTTTGTCAACATGAGCCAAGGAGAACGGTAAGTAAATGCCACAGTAGTGACATCTCTGACTATTGACCCTGTGTTCCAGAATGATAATTCCCCTGTTTGATTCTACCTATTCATATAATAAGCCATATTTTAATTCAAATTTTTCCAGTCACCAAATATGAACCTTATGGAATGTATATTCCAAAACATTACAAAATTTGAACTTTACCACCATTCTATAATCTTCACTATGCTGGAGAATGTATAATTAATTTTTACTTTTCCTCAGTATAAAGTGTCCTTATTCAAATTTGTGTTGAAATAGATTAGCCTATCCCCTGTATGTCATCGATGAGCTACTTCGAAGATGTGAGGACAAGAACATACACCTGCGAGTAGTCTATGACATTGCCTGTGTTGTTGCCTCACATTTGCATGTAAGTACTTTTTTGTGTAAAACTGAATTGTTGTTTTGAGAAAAGACCTTGACACATTTACTTAAAATTATGCCATACTGTGTTCAATCAGAAATCAGGAGAGGGCATACCACACAACATCTCCTTGGCCATACTGGCATTTCATGTTTATGGACACAAATTGCCCTGCCAGGTAATTAATTGGCTTTATAGAGACATCAGGACCTGTGTCACACATCATTCACTCCCTGTTTGCCCTCAATTTTCCTGTCTATCAACTGCACAGCTGAAATTAAGTAGATGTGCCTAAAAGTAATCTTTATTCTGGCATTTTTCCCAACTGGTGTTTGTCTAAACTTGTTTCAGAGATGCACTGTTGGACAATACAGTGGAAACCGCTTATCTCACATCTGTCTGGGCCAAATCACTATAAGCGGATGATTGTTATAACCAAATTTGTTTTTATGTTTTATGCAGATTACTATCTAATTTGTATAATTATTACATGCATATAAAGTAATAACATGAACAGCTTCACTATTTTTTCTGACTTAAAGGAAAAGTGGATACATACATACCTCTCTCATCTCAGTGCGTGCGCTCAATTGCTCTGGTGCGCGGCGATACTTTGAGTGTCCAGTTCATTCATTAGGATCCAAACAGAGATGAAGTTAAAAGCGACAAAAAACACCACGCCACGTTTTATTTTGTCTCACCATACTTGGTCGTGTAACTACTCGTGTAACTATATTTAAATAGGGAAAACGTGGAGGTGTTTGGTCGTTTCTAACTTCATCTCTGTTTGGATCCTAATGAATGAACTGGACTCAAAGTATCGCCGCGCGCCAGAGCGATTGAGCGTACGCACTGAGACGAGAGAGGTATGTATCAACTCGTCTTAGTTAAGGAAATTACATTGTTTAATATGAAAAAACGGTGGAGTGTTCCTTTAAAGATAAAATAAAATAAGCTACACCTACGCCCTCTCCTGATCCAAGCCCTGTCTGAATGGTCAAGGTGAAAGCATTACACTACACTCACGTAACATGCAGTAGGCCTAGCTGCTGCTGTGAGAGAGCCAGGACAATCATTATGTACCATAAAAGTCCCAAAAAAACAGCAGAGCAGGAACAGGAGGGCAAAATAACTCCATAGACCACAGCAGTGTGAGTAGAGGAAAACATCACATGGCGCGCAACTGTGCACAGCAAGCGTATGTACACACACACAATATGAAACACACTAAGCGGACTACTTGATTACTATAAACAAATTATTTACACAGCATTTCTACAGCAATGATTCTTTCCCAAGCTTTTGAATCCATATAAGTGGTTGATCACTGTAACCGTGATCACTATAAGCAGTTTACACTGAAGTACGATCATGCTCAGTGTCAGCGTCTATTCTACCACTTTGCTTTAATCACAGATCAAGTACAGCACTAGGCGGCTCGATGGGTTTGGGCTCACAGACGGGGAAGGAATGGAAAGGCTGTGGTCTTTTCTCCGAAGATTTGCCAGAGTCACAAAGGAGATGAGTCCATCTCACCGCCTCGATCTGTTGACTGATGCCCTTTTGCATTATGGACGGAGGAAATCAACTGACCTAGGTTTGTCCACTGCAGCATAACCTGTCAAAATTCTGTGCTGGTGGTTCACTGTTTATACATTTTATATTTTCTGGAGTGAAGCTGATCACTCACAAATTGGTCAGCATAAGTAAATTAAACTGTGTTTGCAGAGATGCAGCTCCTGCAAAGACTAGACAGAGCAGAGAAAATATCAATTCTCGCTCAAGAAGACATCTCATCTGTCATCAGAGACGCACCAGGTAAACAATGCACATAAGAAGCAGGAAACAATAGTTGTAAACCGGAGAATTTTAGATTCTGTTTACAAGCGCATTTTGCATGGAGTATGTAGTATTGATGTCTTGTTTTCTGTTATTTTTGTTGTCTAGTGTTGGTTTCTGAGGGAGACATGGAGAAATGGAAGAAAAGAGAGATGGAGCTAGCCCATCAGAAACAGAGACCAATAAGTAAGCAACTGAAGTGATTGGGTGAATGTCTTGAACACTGTATGAAGGTCATGCAAATTATTAGCAAAGCGTATTGCAAATATGTTATACTTACCTTTCCGTGTACAGTAATGAAATACAATCCTGCAAGCTATGTGAAGTTACATGAAATGAAACAATGTATTAGAGCAGTAGTAATGTCTTTATCTGTTCTCCAGACACTGTCTGTAAATGGAAAAGGGACTACATCATCCAGCTGATTCAGTTCTACAAGTTCAAGTAAGAGTTTAATGTGTTTATGTAAAACTATATGGTAATTACAGCTGTCTTTCAGTGCCCTGCTGATGTGCTTCAGCATGGAAGTAGGTGTGATTACAGTAACAGCATAGCTTTGAAGGAAACCGTTACAATGGTTATAAATTAAGAGTTGCTATAATACTGCAGTAATTGAATATGTTGTGATTAGTAATCAATTATCACCAAGGCCTCCCTAATAACGTATGCACTCTTTGGTCTGGGGTGAACCACAGAAATGCTTTCTGCTTGGTACCTAATGAATTTTTGTGCTGTGTTTTTTTATTTTTATGTATAGATCTGGGACTTGTGAGTCGTACATGGAGTGTGAAACAGAGTAAGCAATAATCTGTCACTGTTCTCTGAGCAAGTGTGTAAATAACTATTAATAATATTTATTTTCTGACCATTGTAGAATTGAGGACTCTCTGCTGAACATAGAGAAAAAACACCGGATTGGGAGAAGATGGCAAGAATCTGACTCAGACTTCCAATCTACCCTTAAAGATGTTGACTGTGAGCTCAGAGGACAACTAATCTTCAAAGCTAGAACCGAATCAAGGGAGAGAACAATCCTCCTCCATCTGAAAAGAAAATATCCAGGTAAAGTGCTGTGGAGACGTAGATGGGCTACATTAAGATATTAAGTTCAACTTTGAAAAGGACCACAATACACACTAATAAATGAATTTATCTGCATGCGTGTTTCCTATCTTTGCTACAGATGTGAATGATTCACATTACGATATGTTAATTTTAAGGTTAACACTTTTAACAATACTCCTTCGATTATGAGAAACACGGAAGTGCATTGTGTTGTGGGCGGGGTTTACGGGTTATCCTGTTTCGGCTAAAATAGCTTAAATAAATCAACATATTTACATTTTCTTAGCGTAGATCATCTAGATACAGTGTAATCAATAGTTTGGCTGTACTAAATGTTTGATTTATTCAGTAGATATATCTTTTTACAACCCTAATTTGCAAACCAGAAAAACTACAACTGCAGTGCTTATTCGTATCAAGCTGCATTGTGTATCTATAGGGAATTGTAGTTTTTAAAATATTAGTGTTTTTCTTAGAATTGGAGGTTGTAAATAGTTAGTTGAGAGTACAATGAGGAGTCTAGGGGGATTGTAAACACATCTATGTATTCCGATTTTAAATTAAATTAATTTTTATATTTTTAAATAGGTTAAAATTATTTTTAACCATACTTGACATTGTTCCAAATTGTTGACTATATTCACATGATAACTAAGGACAAGATCTCTCTATAACAGTTGGTCCCATGTCGATAGCCCCTTTTATTGCTTAATTATAAGCCTTCAAACATGCACCAAGGTGACGTTTCAAAGGTCAGTATTTCAAAACAGGGGCCATGTAGAATCTTAATACATACATAATATTACTCTCTAGGTCAAGACCTTTCTAACGATGTATTGGTTTAGCTCTACAACAAAGTTTTAATTTTCTCATTTCACGTACACAAGCCATCCCTGGTGTAGTTTTAGAGAGCACTTTGAAGGCTCAATAGGAGTAGCCTATATGAAGCTTTTTGTTTGTTTGTTTGTTTGTGACTCTGTAAACAGATTTACAACCCTACAACATGAGGAATATCTGGTATACACACACACTGCATTTATGTTTGGGACACACATGGCTTAAATACATAGGCTATCTATTTATGTTAATGCTGTTATGATGGTTAAATACCATTAATGACTAAGACCATCGTCTACATGATGGGTAGTCATCTCCTCTTAGGCTACTTGTAGACTATTATTAGGCCTATTGGTTGTCAAATACAAGAGTAGTCTACATTATACATAGGTCCTTCCACCCAATAGGTGACATTTGCTTGCTGTATCTCTTCAAAATTAAGCATCTTTTTTTAAACACAGAATCTAATACTACACATATTTAACTATTCAAAATGTGTATTCATTGCTCAGGCAACTTAAGTTTATAACCAAGTTTCCAAGTAGAAGATGGATGCATGTTTTCTCAGTCCATGTTACCAAAACTCATGTGCCATTTAAAAAGCATTTTTTAAAGCATGTCAATTCATTTTTTTGTATTCACCTAAAGAAAGTGTTTTTTTTTTTAAAGAAATGTTTGGTTATGTGTTCAAATAATTGATATTTATACCCTTCACATTTTATCTTAAATGTTAATCATTAAAAGAAAAGCATAACACAGTGAGTGTGAAAATACTTCTGAGGGAACTACGTCATGCGAACTAAGTGGCTTCAGTGATAACAGCATCCATAGCAACCATTATATTTAACTTGCTTAAACCCGGCCCTACTGAACCAATGACGAAACAGATTCATATATAAACAAACAAACACGTAGACTCAATTCAGTACAATAGAACTTTATTGATCCCCACATGGCCCAGTTTAAAAGGGACCACATTGATGGTGCCAACAAACGACAACAATAAATAAAAATGGGGGTGAATGAAAACAAAAAGATCAGTTTTCTTCTTACAAGTGAGGTGTAACCATTACAATAAATTTGGAGCAAGGTTCATCAAGTATATTTTAATGAAAAAGGAGAAAGGGACTTAATACATTTTAAAACGTGCATGTATGTATGTATTTATTATGTGAGTGTGTGTGTATTTGTAGGGATGGGTTGGGGGCCGTCAACACAGTAAAAACAACTCAAAGTAACAGGAGACATTTTGGAATGCAGTAAATAGCATAGGTTCAGGGTGTTTGCATGGTGTTTTGACACTGGCAGTGAAGGCACATGTTCTTTTTAAAACCACATGCAGTGTGTGACCATGATTGGCACACTGTGCACTGTGACCATGAACGCCACTTCTTTCTTGCATTCTTATTTTTGTCATCAAAATGGACGCGGCAGACACGGCACACATTGTCTCCATCTACCAAAGGAAAAACACAAATATTTTGGAAGTCAAGCCAGTTAGTTGAAATACTCATCACCATATTCAAAGCAACATATAAAAGGCAGCTTATTCATTTGTAACTGTTGCCAAATGCAAATGTTTGTATTGCACATCAATTCATCTCAGATATTGCTGATGCTCAATCATTAGATAAAAGCAGGTCAAGAAAGAAGAGTTCCTGGTTTCCATTTCAGAAAGCAGCTTTAGTATAACCTTTAAATAAGGAAAACTCTGGGTTTTCCCTTTCAGAAATGGATGTAAATCAAACCTGAGACAGAGGGGTAACTCATTTTTAATCACCACTTTGCTCTTCAGCTGCTTCCAGAGCACAACTTCACATTGATGCAGGTTTGATTACTAATTGTAAGGCCATAACTTGTACAGTCGTATGCCGGCCTGCTGTAGCCACCCGTAGGCTTGTACACGGGTACATTATCATTTAAAAAGCAATTGCTGGTGTTCTTACCTCCTTTCTCTGTGTTTGTATTGTAAAGAAATGTACTGGACAACATCCTTTGCACTCTCAAGATGTTTTTATACGAAAACGCTGTATATATTCTGCACGTTCTGCCTGGAATCTACCCCTTGTAAGACTTAAAAGTGAATCTAGTTAAATGCTGTTATATCCTAAATGAAAGGATTGGAGGCTAATTTGTCACAGTTTGTTAGTCTAATGTTTTTATACCCCTTTTAAATTTTCTTTGTCTATGCTTCTGTTTCCATATCTGTTCTTATTTTAGTATTGTAATCTGTTGAAACTGCCTGTTTTTATCCAGGCTGCTGCTAGTCTTGGCCAGGTCTATTATGAGGAAGAGCTCATTTGTTATATTTTGTTATTTTGTAACTTAAAGGATAATTCCAGTATTTAACACCTTGAGTCTATTTTGTCGTTTGTTTTAGATGAACTAGAGTGGTGGACTTAGAAATGTTGACGATGGGTCCTGTCTCGACTTTTTGACTATTTTAGAATAATCTAATGCTCTGACAGCATTAGACTGGCTTTCTATGGGCATGCACAAACATGTGCTTAAAACAACCCTTAACGTTCGTTTTCAAAACTGTGCAACTCACCGAGTGGTTAGTGGTGTTCGTTGATGTTCCAAAACAAGTAGCGCAGCGAAATACAGTTTCTGTCGTGTTTTATTTGCCAATTTGTAAAATCGCATGATTTCTGTTGAAGGACTCAGTGCTCGTTGATATTACTGCGCTAATATATCAAATATCGAGCGGAAGTTTATACGCGGTTGTGAGGTATCTGAAAAAATTCCACTATAGCAAATAACACGGATTGAAAGCATACATTGCGCCGATATATTTGTTTTTAATCATCAATGAACACCACTAACCACTCGGTGAGTTGCACAGTTTTGAAAACGAACGTTAAGGGTTGTTTTAAGCACATGTTTGTGCATGCCCATAGAAAGCCAGTCTAATGCTGTCAGAGCATTAGATTATTCTAAAATAGTCAAAAAGTCGAGACAGGACCCATCGTCAACATTTCTAAGTCCACCACTCTAGTTCATCCAAAACAAACAACAAAATAAACTCAAGGGGCCCTATCTTGCACCCAGCGCAATTGACTTTGTACACCGACGCATGTATCATTCCTATTTTGCAGCCGCGCAAAGCGGACTTTTCCCTCCACAGACACACGTCGGTTAACTAAGAAATACACTTGCGCTCCCCGGGGCGGTTCAGCGTAAAGAGGAGGCGTGTTCCGGCGCAAACTTTCCCTCATGCTATTTTGCTGTTCTATAAAACAATTGCGCCACTGACCAGAAAAAACCTAGTCTAAAGTCAATGGCGCGTTGTGCGTTGTTCATTATGCTATTTTAAGGGCGCATGCTTGGCCATAATCAATGTAGCGTGTGCACAACGCGCATACACTTTCTCTCATCTAAGCAGCAGTTTTCATTTTTGCAAATCAAACATTATTACAATAGATAGATAGATAGATAGATAGATAATTTATTATAAAAGCATACATCTAGCTTACACATTTACCCAAATAATCATACGCCTGTTTAACCGAAGTTAATTTGGGTGGGTTTCTCCATCCCCAATGTCACTTCTCAGCTGTGAACCGCTCCTGGCGCGCCAGGCAAATCCGCCGTTATAATAGGAATCCGCTTTAGAACAAGCGCGCCTGCTCTTAAAGGGAATGTGAGATGACGCTCTGATTGGTTTATTCACTTTACGCCCAAACCACACCTATGAATAATGAAGCTACGTCAGACCAACCCCTTTTAGATTTGCGCCAGGCGCAAATGGCATTTATCCCGCCGGGAAAATAGCAACAGCGCCTGGATCCGCCCACAAAGTTACTTGCGCTTTGCGCTTTGACACTTGCGTTTTAGATCGTTAAAATAGGGCCCAAGGTGTTAAATACCGGAATTATCCTTTAAGGCAATATATATGGTATAACAGTCATTTCCTGTTATATAAAAATAACCACAATGTGGAAAGATACCTTTATCTGCAGTCATCACGATGGCTACAGTAGTGGCTGTTTCTGAGGACTCTTCCATCTGCTGTGCACCTAAAGTACATAACACAAAACAAAATAATAACTTTCTAAATACAAATTTTTAATCTTAATTACAAATTCATAATTCAATTTGTCAGCATTTATACTGTCAATAGTTAACTAGTAAATCATTGATTAAAAAAAAAAGACAGTTCCATTATTTGCATCTAAATCTCAACAGCCAAATCAAAATGTAAAATTATCAGAATACCAATCTTATATATGCTTTTTAATGTCACCTGGATAAATATTGTATCCATAAATTGTAATTTTCAAACAAGTAAGCTTTTCTCTTTGTGTCAAATGTCAATGGATGACTTCTCAGAACAGTAACATTGTAAATGTATTATGTAACATTTGGTAAAATGTATTATGATTACAAGAAATACCATTTTCACACATGGCCTCTAAAATTTCCTCCACCGACTTCATCTGGATGCCATCCGCTGTGTCTGTTGATTTGAAAAGATTAAACCATTACACAAAGGTGAAAATTTCACCTTTTGATTAATTGTATTATTTCAATAATGTATACAGTAGTCAAATGTGCTGTGTAATCACCACAGTTAACTATGCTTCTTAAGTTTAATGTAATATATTTATTTAAAGATAAAATAAAAACAACTCAGCATACCTTCTGCATCCATGTGCTCTGACATCCCCTCTCCCAAGTCAGTGGGGTTGGATTGTTCTGCATCTGATTGATATTTTTAGAGAAAAAAGAAAGACAGAAAAAAACCTTATGTAGCATGAGCTTAACAAATAATTGGCCTTCCTGCAATAGTCCTGGAGGAAAATAATGAATCACACAGCAGTGAATATATCAATGAAGGAATGTAATTCGGAGAATTATATACATATAATTGAATTAGTGAATAGTTTGATGAGCATGAAAAAGATGAAAACCATTGCCAAGGGCCACAGTCACTAGTCATATTTAACTAAACATCTATAGGATATTCAGGATAATGATAAAGCTGAGAAATAGTGTCACATCCCTTACAAACTGTCAAAGACACATACAGAATCTATAACCTGAATCTGTTTCAATTCAATTTTATTTATATAGCGCCAATTCATAACAAAAGTTCTCTCACAGCACTTTACAAACAGAGTACGGTAGGTCTAGACCATACTCTTTATAATATTGTTAACAAATACCCAACAATTCCCACCATGAACAAGCACTACTGTATGTGACGGAGGCAAGGAAAAACTTCTTTATAAAGGGGTCATATGATGGTTCTAAAAATAACATTATTTTGTGTATTTGGTTTAATGCAATGCATTTATGCGGTTTTAGGTTAAATAAAGCTCATCATTCAGAAAAGCGCTGTGTGCTCTGATTAGCCAGAAATCCAGTGCATTGTGATTGGCCCAAATACCTTAAGCACCTGATGGAAATATCACACTTCTTACCATATCTGGAACGTCAGCTCCCAAAGCAAAGCAATATTGAGAGATTATAATGTCAGTCCTACCTTATCAATTAGAGCCGGAATATGATCCGGATGATGCAGATGACTAAGCTAATCAATCAACGTTGCCAGCGCGACTGGACCAGAATGTATCAGATTGGTAAGCATCAGTATTGCATTTGTTATAGTTGAAACGACAAAGACATAGTCTGAGCTCTCCCAGGTGCTAGAAACAGTCATCTGAAAAATGCGCAGCACACAGTCGAATATTTGGGTTGTACTGTTCTGGAACAGTGTTGTAAATAAAGCTTAGCCACTGTTTTCTAACTGTGTCCTCTTTTGGAAAGCCAAACAAAGTAGTTGGGCTTTCGCAACGAAAAACACAGCGTCTTTACGACATGCCGGCGCGGATAAAAGTTATGCCTTCTTTGCGTATACATTTGGGCGGTGTTATGGAACTCTGCCCCCACACACTGACGTAGAGATGAGGGGGTGTGTTTGAACGAAGTGTTTTAGGAAGGTGTGGCTGAGCCTTCACTTTTATAAAGAATATCTCTTTAGGGTTTGAGACTTTGATCTTTGTAACACTGCAGATCTTATACATGCACAAACAGCTACATAACACTAGCCTGGCTAACGCCAGACCCAATTCTCGTTGAGACTTGGGTCTGGGAACCATATGCACATTTTTTCGTATTTGAGGCGTGGTTTACGAATGCCCGGCGCCGTTTATTGGGTGCTAAGAATGTCTATCAAATGCGCCTGTACGTAGCTCATAGCCAATCGTTTCAATTATACCAGATGACGTATGTAGAGCGACAGAAATTAGACAAGGAAGAAGACGATGGGTAAGATATTTTTGTGTAAACAATAACGTTCAGCGACTATTGCCGAATAAAAACAACATATAAACTATTGCCGAATATAAACAAACTGCTTGTGTGTGTTGCATAGATGTCGTCATCGTCTTGCTGCTCCCCCACCGTTCTGTGATTGGTTCCCTAAATGAGGCGAAAATCTGGACCATGGTATCCATACTGCCTTTCAGCGCGAATAAAATGAATACGAATAAAATCGCGCTGCAGAAGGCAGTATGGGGAAACCCAGACTAACATAACACACTAAAGAGAAAGAAAAACAAGAAATCGCATCAAATGACCCCTTTAAAAGGCAGATACGTCAGAACCATGGCTCAGGGTGGGCGGCCATCTGCCTTGACCGGTTGCGGTGAAGGGACAGAGAGAGATGCAATGCCCCAAAACTATACAAAGACTTACATGTAGGCCAGTATTATTCTTTAGTTAACTTATTTTCCCCACTTTGCATAGAGCCAAATGGTCTGCTAAAACACAAGTGGAGAAAGACACTGGTAATGGTAATGTCACTTACTTATTTCAAATGAAATCTCCTCTGCAGCTTTCAAAATTTCGACCAATTGGTTCCTTCCATAAAAGGAAGGCTTCCTGAGGGTAAGACTTGTGGGCAGTCCAGCTACATTAATGGTCATGCCCTGATTTACCAGGGACTGGTAGGGAAGCCTCCCAGTACCTCCGGCCTCCTCTGAAATACACGGGCACAAACATGCATGCACACGTTACACAATGTTACACAGTTGGACAATTGTGACTCTCCTCTCTAGTTGATAGCCAGTGTACAGGCTGCAAACAGACATTTTGGTAAGGTGTCAATCTAATGGTTGATGGGCACATTAAATAATTTATTCATTTGATAATAATGCCATGGATTCATGAAGGGATTAAAAGTATTTGAACTTATGCTTACTATATTTTTGGTTGAATAGATCTTGCACTTTTCCTACCAGAACACTGACATGTTCTCTGGTACTGGGTGTTGCGGGTGAGGAGCTGGCTACAGATGTAACAACAGACAACAATAATTTCATAAAACTGTATTATGTATATTTGCACTATTACAGGCCTGAGTCCATTTCTGTGGATTTTTATATAACCAATACCTTTGAAATGCAGTGCGAAGTTGTTCACTGTCTCCGTTGTATCAAGGAAATCAGTGGCTCCTTTGCTGCTCAGTTCAAACACCTCTAATGAGGACTTTTGGCGGTCAAATGATAGAATGGCTGTTTCCGCACCCAAATCCTCAAGCTTGGACACCTTTACAATATTTAGAAGACGACAACCACAAAAATAGTAAATAATTGATTAAACACAAAACCTACTTTTAAAAATTCAACACACACTGAAGAAAAAACTCATAACAGGGCTTGGAAATATATGAAAACAGTGTTGTCACACGTGGCAAATAAGTGGTCAAGGACCACCCAGGGTACATTAACTATAAATTAGTTGTTTACATAGAGTCCAAATTCAATAATTTTGACTCATAGCCATTTGTGACTACTAATGCTTCAATTGACCACCTTGATGTGAATAGACTAGCCCAACCAGTAGGAATTTAGTTTGAGAGGTGTTCTTCAAAGTGAGAATATCTGATGTTGATAGCCATGTAAACAACAATCAGCTGGAATATTTATTTGGGATGAATTCATTTGAAATGGTGAAAAAAATCTACAAATCAACAATCCAGTTGTCTGTCACAATGTTCTGCTCGCATCACAATTGCTGTCGATCATCCTTCCATCCAATACTAAAATAATACCACAAATGCCTAGCAAATGAAGCCATTTTCCAAACCTCTAACTTCAGCTTCTTAAGGTGCATTTTAATTCGGGCATCCCTCATCTCTGGGCTAAGGTCCTGTGTCTGCCCATGTGCCCTCAGTGCTGCTGCCTCTTGAAAGTATTTATTCTTTTCATCTTCCCCCAATGTGGCCCACCTGCCCTTAATGTCATTCATTGTGCCTGAGGAAAAAATAGATGCACAGAAAACTTAACACTTTAGATTCAGCATCTCTTTTTTAAAGTAAATTCATACAACGACAATCTGTCCAACACACTGGTTTACTTGGGTTGTGAAACCCATTTCTCTGTAACAACTCTGTAAAAACAAGATAACATGTAAAGTAGATGACCTGATGATTCTTTTCAATACACACAGCAGTCTTACGTTGATGAATGCAACTTGCGTGAGTGAAGTACTTGCCAAATACTATCTTGAAAATCTGTTTCATGACCCTTGTAAACCCCTGATGTCAACAGGGCCACTATGTACAAAAACAAACCATTTAGTATAACAATTAAAAGAAGCCGTTCAATTTTGTCTCTCACCTTTGTTTTTGAATATGTCCCTACAAAAAAGATTGTAAGGCGACAGCTCTCTGACGTGAACTTTTGCCTTTGATTGACGGGGTTCAGACAAAGGTTTTGAAATTTGTGATCTTTTGTAATTACCGATCCAGTTCTGAAAAATAAAAACAAAAAATAACGATAGAGTATTACACCAATTAAACAGTATTTTAACAAAATACTTCATTTTTACAAGCAGTGCAGCAGAATGATATATTTATTTGACATGTTGTTTGTTAGTGTGGCACCAAAGTAAAACTTACTTCTATGACACTGGTGTCCAAACCAGTAGCAGATGCAGCACTTGGAATTAATTTTGACCCAACTCGTGTCATTCCATTCGTAAAAAAGGATTTCAGGGTTTCCTTTTGATTCCCATTAATGGGAGTTCCCCTTCGAGGGAACTCGAACTGCATCGGTTACGACACTATGGGAACGCCTCTAGGCGAAGCAGGTCTGAACGTGAATGAAATCACTCCAATCCTATTGGCCTGTTGCTAGAACGGTAAGGTGTGACGGAATAACCGGAGGAGTATAAAGCACACCTGTACACACTCATCATTAGCTTTTTTTTATTCAGCAGGCGCTCTGTATGTTGTTTGAAGAAAGCTCCAGTCCTACAAGCAGTATGTCTTACCTGAAGAAGAAGTCTACCAGCATGTCTGGCAACCAGATGTACAGAAGGGGTGTTTTTTCTTGCCCTCAGTACATCACGGATGGAGATTCTCATGAGATGTGTCTCTCATGTTTGGGGATGGAGCACGCACGGGCAGCTCTCGAGGGGGCTGCCTGCGCCCGTTGCGAAGCCCTTTCCGTGCGGGTACTGAGGTACAGCATTGCTCTCTTTTCCGAGGATGGCCGGATGTGTTTTCCCCGTGGTGCGGGCCCTGCGGCCGCTGAGGCGGCCCGGCGGCTTCACTCATGGGTTCACAGCGTGATCTGTCGGAGGATTTCGGGACGGCTGAGGCTTTTTCCCGACCTTCATCCGCTGGCTCCGACGCTTCCTTTTCTCGTTCGGGAGCCCGTTCTCGGCTTCTCCCACTCGCGGTTTTGGATCCGGAGACGCTGCAGCAATCCGACTCCGAGGAGGCGGACGTGCTCAGCGCAGTGGACGATGACTTCCGGGTGTCGGGGCGGCGTCATCTGGCCGCGCCCGACTATGACGTGCTGCTGGAGGTGGTGACTAGAGCCGTGGCTAAGCTCAACATCAACTGGCCACGGGAGGAGCAGACACCACAGGCTAGTGGTAGCTTGATGAAAGGTTTCTTAAGCATCACACGCCACCTCCACGCCGGTCTCTGCCATTCTTTCCTGATTTACATGATGAACTGAGTAAATCATGGGGCAGACCCTTCTCTACATGGCTTTCCACACCCCGATCACTGAACTACAGTAATGTGATGGGGGTTAGGGACCGTGGTTATGGGAGGATGCCTCGGGTGGAGGATGAGCTTGCGAGCTATCTCTCCCCTCGACTTGCGTCCTCCCTGGAGAAGCCGGCGTTACCATCCAAACCATGTCGCACCACATCCACGCTTGTGGGGAAGGCGTACATGGCAGCGGGCCAGGCAGGTGCGAGCTTGCACACCACGGTGCTTCAAGCCTACCAAGCCAACCTGCTACAGGAGATGGTTCAGAGGGGGGGTCCCTCCGAGGAAGATCTGGCGGAGCTTCGCAGAACCACGAAGCGTTAGACGCAGTGCGAAGCGTTCCGCCAGTACCTCCCTCGCCGGTCTGGACCCAAGGCAGCTGAGGCTGCCAGGCGTAGGTCCCTTCCCTCTACGAGCTCCTACGGAGAGGAGGGAAGCAGAGTGTCGCTTCTCGGGGGCCCCCCGAGGAGCTGGGGCAGCGAGACGGCGCTCTCACCCTCAGCCGTCTGAGAGACGCGATCTGAGGACCGTCATCCAGTCCCGACGGAGCTCAGGGAAGACCGGGGTAGGGGAGTCTTTCTCCCCTCCCGCACCCCCCCCACCCCCCCGGAGGCCGACCGAGGTCCCCTCCGCCGTGGCAACAGGTGATGTTATCCCGCCGTTTACATGTTCAGGACGCACCTGCCACCATCGAGTCCGCACCGTACTGCCTGCCCCGAGGGTCTGCAGACGGACGGCATCCCGACTCACTCACCGTGGATCTTCGGCGGCTCCCCCCCTGCCGTTCTGGGGCTTCAGGGGTCCACCAGAAGATCCCGAGGGGCTGGTTCCGTTGGCAGACTTTGCAGACGCTTGGCGGAGCCTGACGAACATTTCTCCGCGGGTCCTGCGCACTGCCATAGATGGGTATCGACTACAGTTCAAAGCCCACCCTCCAAATTCAACAGAAGAGAGGGGGTGGTTTGGACTGTGGTCCGCCCGGAGCAAGGTCCGGTGTTGGGACAGGAAGTTTGTACTCTGCTGAGGAAAGGGGCCGTGGAACGTGTCTCCCCCCCAGACAGAGACTTCATAGTCCCCAAGAAGGACGGAGGGCTGCGTGCCCTATTTTGGATCTGCGGGTTCTAACCGGTCTCTGAGAAGATTCAGGTTAAAGATGCTCATCATCCCCGCCACCGTGACGCACATCCAATCTGAGGATTGGTTCGTCACGATAGATCTAAAGGACGCCTATTTCCAGGTCTCCATCCGTCCTTCTCACAGGAAGTTCCTGAGGTTTGCCTTCGGGGGTGTGGCTTACCAGTATCGGGTTCTTCCATTCGGCCTGGCACTTCCCCTAGCACATTCACCAAGTGTATGGATGCAGCACTGGCCCCGCTGAGGCTCCGGGGCATCCGGATTTCAACTTCATCGACGACTGGCTCATCCTAGCCCAGTCTCGAGAGTTGGCGGTTCGGCATCGAGATGTCGTTCTGGCTCGTCTGCGGCGTTTAGGGCTGAGGCTCAACGCAAAGAAGAGCGTGCTGGCGCCCACCCAACGGGCTACGTTCCTAGGGGTTGCATGGGATTCGACAACAATGCGGGCACAATTGTCTCCGGCACGTGTCGACACCATATTGGCTGCCGTGAAAGGGGTGAAGTTAGGCCACGCCATCACTATGATACACTATCAACGAGTGTTGGGTATCCTGGCGGCTGCGTCCAGCGTAATACCATCTGGACTGCTGCACATGAGACCCCTGCAGTGGTGGCTAAGGAACAAGGGTTTTTCCCCGAGGGGAATCCTCTCCGTCTGGTTTGGGTTACGCGCAAGTGTCTTCGTTCCCTATCAGTTTGGAAGGAAACGTGGTTCCTGTCCCAGGGGCCCGTGCTGGGAGGGTCTTGTCGCCGGCTGGTTATTTCGACAGACGCCTCCCTCACGGGCTGGGGCGCGGTCATGGACGGCCGCTTTGCAAGGGGATCCTGGCAGGTGCATCGATCCGAGTGGCATATCAACTGTCTCGAGATGTTGGCAGTGTTCCAGGCTCTAAGGAGTTTCCTGCCCGATCTCCAAGGCCACCACGTCCTGGTTCGTTCTGAGGAGAACAACACAGCGGTGGTGGCCTATCTGAATCACCAGGGCGGTCTGCGCTCGCGCCCTCTGTACAGACTGGCGCGTCAGATCCTCCTGTGGTCCCAGCAGAGGTTACTATCGCTCAGGGCAATGTATTTCCTGGGGACACAGAATCAGGGAGCAGACCTGCTGTTGAGGCAGGGGCTGAGGCCTGGGGAATGGAGACTTCACCCCGAAGTGGTGGAGCTCTTGTGCGAAGAGTTCGGCCCCATAGACGTGGATTTGTTTGCGTCTCAAGAGACTACGCACTGCCCGCTATGGTTCTCTCGTTCCTCCAGCCCCGTTGGGTCTGGACGCCATGGTACATTCGTGGCCGAGGCTACGTCTGTACGCTTTTCCCCCAGTCGCTCTGCTCCCGGGGTTCTGGAGCGGGTCCGCCAGGACTATGTCGGCCTACTGCTCGTAGCCCCGTTCTGGCCAACCCGGGTGTGGTTCTCGGACATCATGTCGCTCCTGGACGGCCCGCCGTGGCGGGTCCCTCTGAGGAGAGACCTGCTGTCCCAGGCGCAGGGCCGGGTTCTTCACCCTTGCCCCGCCATACGGCGACTGTGGGTCTGGCCCCTGAGGGGGCACAGTACCTAGAGGTGGGTCTAACAGCCGGAGCAGTCGAGACCCTCCTGAGCTCCAGGGCCCCGTCCACACGGAGGATGTACGGCCTGAAGTGGAGTGTTTTCTCCACTTGGTGTAGGGAGCGGTCGGTGGACCCTGTTACCTGCCCGGTGGTTCAGGTACTTGAGTTCCTCCAGGACCGGTTCTCTGCTGGTCTTTCTCCTTCCACCCTCAAGGTGTACGTGGCAGCTATTTCATCTTTCCACACCCCTCTGAGGGAGGGGTTCTTGGGGAAACTTCCCTTGGTTGTACTTTTCCTCCGTGGTGCCCGGAGGATGAGACCTGCGACTCGGTCCAAGGTTCCCACTTGGGATCTGGCAGTGGTTCTTGGGGCGTTGGCTGAGGCCCCCTTCAAACCCCTGGAGTCAGCTGAGGCTAAGCACTTGACCCTCAAGATGGCCTTTCTCCTTGCTATCACCTCTCTGAGGAGGGTGGGGGAGCTCCAAGCGCTTTCGGTTTCCCCGCAAAGCCTGGAGTTTGCCCCGGGGAATATTAGGGCTATCCTGCACCCTCATTCAGGATACATCCCTAAAGTGCCTTCTTGTGCGGCAGGGTCCACAGTGCTGCAGGCATTTCATCCTCCACCTCATGTGACGGCGGAGGACGGGAGACTTCATCTGCTCTGCCCTGTCAGAGCACTGAGTATTTACACTCTGAGGTCCTCCCGTTGGAGGAAGGCTGACCAGCTGCTAGTGTGTTTTGGGTCTCCCAGGGCCGGGCTCCCTGCATCCAAACATACTATTAGCAACTGGATTGTTCAGACTATTTCCCTGGCCTATCAGGTGCGCGGTTTGCCTTCACCTGTGGCTGTGAGGGCTCATTCTACCAGAGGCAAGGCGGCCTCTCGAGCCCTCCTTTCCGGGGCCTCTTGCAGGATGTTGTTTAGCGGCTGGCTGTGCCACTCCGCACACATTCATTCGGTTTTACAGTCTTGACCTTCCTTCGGCACCTGGCACTCGTGCGCTCTCCTCTTAGTAGTGCCACTTTATTGCACACAGGGGCAGGCGGGGTTTTCGGCACGGTTTAGTGGGTATCTCGTTCCCATAGTGTCGTAACCGACGCAGTTCGAGTTCCCTCGAAGGGGAACGTCTCGGGTTACGTATGTAACCCTGGTTCCCCGAGAAGGGGAACGAGAGACTGCGTCGGCCGCTGCACCTCTCTCCCCGCCTGAAGCGCCTGCTTCATAGTTTAAGCTAATGATGAGTGTGTACAGGTGTGCTTTATACTCCTCCGGTTATTCCGTCACACCTTACCGTTCTAGCAACAGGCCAATAGGATTGGAGTGATTTCATTCACGTTCAGACCTGCTTCGCCTAGAGGCGTTCCCATAGTGTCGTAACCGACGCAGTCTCTCGTTCCCCTTCTCGGGGAACCAGGGTTACATACGTAACCCGAGACGTTCTCTCTTGTTGAATAACAACAAAGAAAGAAAAATCTAGTCAGTTATAAATCAGTAATAAAAAAAGACAGTGTTGCAGATCATACCATCGTTCTCAGACACACTTGCCTAATGCTTCTAGATTAGCAACTGCAAGGCTTACCTCTCTGGGCCATCTTCAACCTAAAACATAAACAGAAAAACTTGCACAAGACAGATTTGTGAACGGGCCCTTCTCTCTAAAAAGGCCAAAACCAAATTTTAGATTGTTCAACAAAGAGATGAGAGCATGGAAGTAATAAAACAAACTTAGCCTACCACAGAAGTCCTTCAATCCACTGGAAATTGATGCTGTGGGAGACAAAAAAGTTAGGTAAAGATATATTAATGTTACACACACAGGCAGGCAGACAGATAGATAAATAGACTTTTATTTTCAAGTTCAATGTCAAGGACAGCAATAAATGTGACACACACAGACACCACAGTCTATATTTACTTCTAATAGATTCCTAATGTTCGTCTTTTGCATGAATGTCATTGTAAGCTACCTCGTGTGGGATCAAATCCATCCAAGCTTTTTTCAAACCCACAAAACTTTATTTTACATTCTAGTCAAGATCCCAAGGTACCCAAACAGCCATAAAATACGTCATGGGTTTAATATTTCACTCATAAGTCAATAGGAGTATGGTTAGGCCTATGATGGGCGTTAACGAGCATACAATATTATGCAATAAGCCTTACAGTGTGGAAAAAGTAATTTTTACAGGCTAACTTTGCGTTTAACTAGAAACTAAATTTCCCCATTAGCTTCATACGTAAAAACATGCTTATTAGCAACTTTAATGCTCAAATAAAGCAAGTAAGTAACGTAATGATAGGCTAATAACGTAACGTAATAGGGCCTAACGTTAGCCTATATAACGTTTACAAAATAATCGCAATACGCTTATCTCATGTCAACACTCATGTCACGCAACATTAAAACACATTTTATGTATTGTTTTCCCTTATTGACTAATTAATTTCCGTTAAAATGCTCGGTTTTATCATTAAAATGTTCTTACCTGAAAATATCAAGCGCGAAATATTGCAACGTTGCTGCGTCATTCAGTAGACCTCCGATTACCGGCGAGCTGGATTCCTCTGGTATTGGATCTGGAGTCTTCTCTTGTATTTGTCGGTGATTAACCATGTGGATGGATGATAACAGCCTTCTGAGCCTACCAGTAGGCGCAGCAGGCCCCTACTGGCCCATATATATGAGCTGATAACCACTGATAACGCCCATTCAATCGAGTGATAACATTCGAAGCACTGAGCTACTAACGCCCCCTTCCAGTTCATGGGGGAGGGGGCCTGGTTTCACACGGGACATGATCAGTGGTCTCCAGGGTTAAAGTCCTGTGTCACCATAGGTTTTCCATCTTTCAGGCCTTACACCAAATGACATAATCAAATGAAATTACTGTTGCAGTCAAATTTACAATGTGAATAAAATCGTGAGAGTTTTCCCTCAGTTGGTGCAGAGCGACACCCCGGCAGTTCAGCACCATGGAAAAGGCCAGCAGTCAGTGAACTAACAACTGCAGGGAAAGTGTGTCTTTTCAGAGCAATTTCTGTTTCTTTTAGGGATAACACTGTCAAATGGGCTCACTGTCCAATCGGACATTTTTCAGACTATTGGGGATTTAAAAAAAATAAAACTAATAGAGCACATTCTGAATCTGCCCGTTCCCCAAATCACCTTTGAGCAGTCGCATTTTCATTCTTTCCAGCAGGGTTCTACTTGCTGTGCCTTCTTCTGAAGAAGCACGTAAATCACGGTAAACATTCCAAAATCATACCTAGTGCCTGGGGCTTTAGTTGGAGCTCTTTACTGGAATCTCATGCTTTGTGTTTGTTGATTGTAGCACGCTGAAATTTGTCCTCCGACTTTGGACGCAAAATTACACCTGCGCATCACAAGACACCACAGACAATAAAGTGAAGTTAACTGTGTGTGAACCAGCTCCCTGTTGTGGAGCAGTTATACTCAAGGACAGGAGTTTAAAAAACTGGACTGAGACCCACAGCTAATTAGCTACGCTAGCCTCCTCCATTTTTTACTCTCCTGCTCTCCGTCCACTGAAAAGTCAGCTCAGTCAAGACAGTTCGCTATTGGTTAACAGTGCAAATTTGCCAAAATGCAATTTTTTCAGTTAAATGGCAGAGTTTGAATGCTGGTGTAAGATTGGATTGTTTCAACTGTTTGACTGCAAAAATACTCAATACTTTGCCTTCTTCTGAAGAAACCTGTTAATACAGTAAACTTTCCACAATGGATAGCACTGTGGTCTCACAGCAAGAAGGTCCTGGGTTCAAACCCAGGATCAGGATTGTCAGGGCCTTTCTGTGTGGAGTTTGCATGTTCTCCCCATGTCTCTGTGGGTTTCCTCTGGGTGCTCTGGTTTCCCCAACCATCAAAAACATGTAAGGTTCTTCAGTGCCATTGACCAGTGACACTGATCCCAGTGCGCTGCACAGTGGCTGCCCATTGCTCCCTTGAGAGATGGGTTAAGAGAATGAATTTCACTAGGCTACATGTAGGGCCTATGTGTGTGTGACAATAAAGTAACTTACCTTTGATGTTTTTCATGTGTCAGGTAAGTCAATTTCTTCATTTAGCACATTTAAATACTCAAATACATATTCAAATAAACAGTATACACTAATAAAATTAATAAGGAGTACAAGGTTAAAGTAACTCAAAGTAGTAAAATGTGAAACTAAAAGGAAATAAATAAGACCAACAATAGATTAAAGCGCTGTGAGAGGACATATGCAAAAATGAATTAACTCTGTGTTACAGTTTAAAACATATTTACAGTCTTCATACAGGAGAGTCAAATAAAACAATTTATTAGGGCTTTTTAGGAATTTCTGCTGCAAATACAAATTCAATAAATGTTTATAGCTGGCTTTATATTGATGTTATCAAACTTAATGGTAAATATACTGAACACTTGACTTGTCACATTAGAGTTGAGGAAGGCTGCTCTGATTCTCAGTGAACACTTATTTAATAAAATGCTTCCCTCTGGTGGTCAGAAGAGAAAATGCACAGTTCATCTCTAATGGATCAGTGAAGGAAGACTAAATATTTCACTTTGGCAAAGCAGCAGGGGCGGGCTGGCCACTGTGGAGGGATTATTGGGTCAGAATTAAAACTAAAGTCTAAAACTAAAAGTCTAAATCAAAAACTAAAAGTCTAAATTTAAAATGCATTTGGTATTTAGAATTGGGAATTTGGCCACATAGGATTGGACATTTAGTATTTAGGACTGGGCATTTAGTATTTAGGACTGGGCATTTAGTATTTAGTATTGGGCATTTAGGACTGGGCATTTAGTATTTAGTATTGGGCATTTAGGACTGGGCATTTAGTATTTAGGACTGGGCATTTAGGACTGGGCATTTAGTATTTAGGACTGGGCATTTAGTATTTAGGATTTGGCATTTAGGACTGGTAGTATTTAGGACTGGGCATTTAGGACTGGGCATTTAGTATTTAGTATTGGCCATTTAGTATTTAGGATTGGGCATTTAGGACTGGTAGTATTTAGGACTGGGCATTTAGGACTGGGCATTTAGTATTTAGTATTGGCCATTTAGTATTTAGGATTGGGCATTTAGGACTGGTAGTATTTAGGACTGGGCATTTAGGACTGGTAGTATTTAGGACTGGGCATTTAGGACTGGTAGTATTTAAGACTGGGCATTTAGTATTTAGTATTGGGCATTTAGGACTGGTAGTATTTAGGACTGGACATTTAGGACTGGTAGTATTTAGGACTGGGCATTTAGTATTTAGTATTGGGCATTTAGGACTGGTAGTATTTAGGACTGGGCATTTAGGACTGGGCATTTAGTATTTAGTATTGGGCATTTAGGACTGGGCATTTAGTATTTAGGACTGGGCATTTAGGACTGGGCATTTAGTATTTAGGACTGGGCATTTAGTATTTAGGATTGGGCATTTAGGACTGGTAGTATTTAGGACTGGACATTTAGGACTGGGCATTTAGTATTTAGGACTGGGCATTTAGGACTGGGCATTTAGTATTTAGGACTGGGCATTTAGTATTTAGGATTGGGCATTTAGGACTGGTAGTATTTAGGACTGGACATTTAGGACTGGTAGTATTTAGGACTGGGCATTTAGTATTTAGTATTGGGCATTTAGGACTGGTAGTATTTAGGACTGGGCATTTAGGACTGGGCATTTAGTATTTAGTATTGGGCATTTAGGACTGGGCATTTAGTATTTAGGATTGGGCATTTAGGACTGGGCATTTAGTATTTAGGACTGGGCATTTAGGACTGGGCATTTAGTATTTAGGACTGGGCATTTAGGACTGGGCATTTAGTATTTAGGACTGGGCATTTAGGACTGGGCATTTAGTATTTAGGACTGGGCATTTAGTATTTAGGACTGGGCATTTAGGACTGGGCATTTAGTATTTAGGACTGGGCATTTAGGACTGGGCATTTAGTATTTAGGACTGGGCATTTAGGACTGGGCATTTAGTATTTAGGACTATGCATTTAGGACTGGGCATTTAGTATTTAGGACTGGGCATTTAGTATTTAGGACTGGGCATTTAGGACTGGGCATTTAGTATTTAGGACTGGGCATTTAGTATTTAGGACTGGGCATTTAGGACTGGGCATTTAGTATTTAGGACTGGGCATTTAGGACTGGGCATTTAGTATTTAGGACTGGGCATTTAGGACTGGGCATTTAGTATTTAGCTAGTCTCCTAGCTGTTACTTGTCATTGTTTTTAGAGTAACTAGTGACTTTACAGACTGAGATACATGAAAAATGTTAAACTCATAAAACACAACACATTGTTAAAGATTAAACCAGTGTCCCCTCAACATGTGTCCTTGTCTCTGAGTTGCTCCACTCAGACGTTTTCCCTCTCAACTTATGACATTGTTTAATTTCAATAACTGTTAAAATTATCTAATATTTCACTAAAAATTAAAGCAGATTTGTGTATCAGAACTTTGTTTTTTCTTCTATCCTCTCCCATTATCATTTCACAACCACTCAGATTTATATATTGACCTTCAGAGGGCCCGACCCCTAGGTTTCAAGTAAACAGTACATGAAGTATAGTTAAAACTAGTGCCACAATGAGCAGCTACAACAGTAAAATGCACAAACATTCACAACACAATATCCCTTTCACAATTCAACAAGCTTGCTGGGAACAAAAAGAAGCAACTGAATGTTTTTTCTTCCAGGAGACTGTAGCTTTCTGGGCTCCTGTAATGTATCAAACTTATAACAAAGCCAGTGACAGTTAAGGGCAGTGCTTACGTGGTCAAATTATTGATTACATGTATGATCAGAGACAGTCAAAGACATGCAGGCATTTCAGGTGCTGCAGGGATTTCATGAACTGATGGAGAAGCTATTCTGTACAGACCAGCTGTGAATCACTCACATTAATTCATAGATCAATGCAGACTGATTTACTGACTTTCCTGCTTTAAATACATGTCTTTGATTTTGATGGAACCAAAAACAAAGACATGTTTAATTTTTCCTATTGAAGAAAGACATTAAGAAGACAAGACAGCTGGTAAAAGTAAATTTGTCAAAATAAAAAGCCAAGGAGAGAAATCTGTTCTATAACATTATGCAAGCACTTATGTTGAAAGAAAAAAGTAAAATAAACAAACCTGGACCGATGGAAGTAGCCTCAATCATTTATCAACAATGATTTAGTCTCATTTTAGAACAAACCTTTTACTGTTGTTGAGGTATAAATAACAAGTCAAAGTTTATTTCCAGTGTTGTCAAACATGGTGTGGTGAAGACTGTATATTTTCTTGGATAAAAGGAACAAATGAAGAAATTCCATTGTTGTTTTTTGTGATATTTATTTAAAGTAAGAGAAACCCTTAGAGATTCTGACAGAGAAAGCTAGAATAGAATAATAGTGTAGTCTATGAGAAAAGCTTTGAGCCACAGGAAAGGAATATGCTTACAACAACAAAACAATCAGTGACAGATGTTCATTCTTTTTAAAACACTGGTACACATACCACATAAGATGAATATAAGTACATAAGGTAGATGACATATACAGGATTATATAAGTGCATATAGGTAAAATACATTTTCTATTTCACATGATTGTTTAACTGTCTGGGGGCTTAACTCATAACATTAATATATACATTTTATAAAACCATGCCTACTTTGCATGTGCAACAGTTAAAGCTACACCACTAGCTACCCCACCTGCTCCACCCCATTATATCGACGGGTCACTTTATGTTGTTTAAATCCTGCTCTGCTGTAAAGTCCCACTATGCCCCTTGTTACTCCCTCATGTGGTATGAGAAATCATCACAACCTAAACACCAACGATACTGTAGTGATTACGAGGCATTACGAGACAGATTTTGGTGTTTATTGTTAGTCTAAGAATAAAGAGCAGATTACACAACAAAACAGTATACAACACAAGTTGAGCAGCTAAAGAGCCAAATATTTACCTCAGGACCTGGTGCTACATGGCCAAAGAATCAGTTATTTCAGGTTTGAGGAAAATCCTTCTGAATCTGGGAATTTTGCCAACCAGGAATCAAAACCAAAAATCAGGCTACATGTAAATTATCTCAATCTTCTGACTGTCCAGCTGCTGAAATCCACAGTGGAGTTTAAATGCATCACTAAATTAAACTGGGTTGTTGTGTAAAGAGTAGTTATCACTGAACATAGTGAATGTGTTGTGTAGATAACTGAAACAGCTGACAAAGCTAGCATTAGCATGATCATTTCTGATCTGTTTAAAGTGGAAAGTTAAAGATTATGTACTGTATGGCATACAGTCTACATATCATTTATATAATTATCTAAATTAGTAAATAATAAAGTTATCTTAGCATAATCAGATATTCCATCTCATTCTAAACTGTATGAATACTACTAACTCTGAAAAAACAATTTCTCCATGTATGCAGACAGAAAGAAAAACAAATACAAAATATATATCTGTTGGCCTCAAATCTTTTGGATGTTGTGCTAGCTTGTGATGGTAAAGTGAGTACCTGTTTACCGAATTGATTGCTTTTGAGTGGACACATTTTCTAGCAATGGATTTAAACATTACTTAAGTCGAGTGTCACTGTAATAATGTTACTTCTTCCCAGTAACCAGTAGTGTAAAGGATTACTTTTCTAAACCAGTAATATTATTACAGTTACTAATCCAAGTTGCTGTGTTACAGCGTTACTGAATCCACCATCCTTGAAGTGAATTTTCCACAGCTGTATGTAGCTACTGCCTTTATTGTGTCACAGTCTAAGATGCAAAGAACATTGTCATCCGTTGTAAACTTTGTGCGACCAGCAAAACGCTTAGAATTCGCAAAGAATTCTACATTTAATTTATTGAAGCATCTGCTGTAGCAGCACAGCAACTGAAACTTACTGAAACTTCGACCGTTACTATCACTGACGCTTGGACTCATAGGGAGAGAGTGGCGTTAAGTTTGCTTAAGTTTTAGGCCCTATGTTGTGTAAAAATACTGAATACTGCTCTTATAAATAGGCCTTCATGTGCAGAAAAACAGTAGTTCAATAGTCAAGAGTTGACGGTAGTGAAAGTAATACAGTAATTAACTAGTAACATAAGTAGTTACTTTTATCACCCAGTAATAAGTAAAGTAATATTTAGTGCTGGGCAACGATTAAAATTTTCAATCGCGATTAATCACATGATTTTCTTACGATTAACAAATTAATTTTCACTTTAAACAAATAATGTGCTTTTTACCAGCAGTATTCCCTTTACACAGTAGCAAAAAAGTATTTCTTGTAAATCTCAACTTAAACATTAATGTGATCAAATCAAATATAAAACCAAGCTATTTAACACTGCCAGGGCATTACCTTTCTTCTAGGTTGTTAAAACAAGTTACCATCAGAGTCCAGTTTTCTTGGGATTTTTTTTGAACAGGCATCAGCACAAACATTTTTCTTATATCAGGGAGCAGCAGAAACAGTCTGTGTTCCCTGTTAGAGTGAGGTGAAGTGGTCGCCTCATGCACACACCCACCCGCCGCCAATGTTAAATTGTCTGAGTTTCCAGAATCTATTACTATTACTAACTAGGACATCAACAGGAGGGAATTCACATTGCAGAGCATCCCTGCAAAACGAGATGAAGGCCTATCAGGTAAGCTGTGCAATGGTTACTATCCACAGAGCGATTGCCGTTTACTCATGGAGCGTTTGTCTCCCTGTCTGTTCACCTGAGGAGCGCATAGCGACCCCGCGGGGCCAAGCGAATACGTTGTGATTTTAAGAACGTTCCCCAGACCGACATCTTCCCCAATACTAACCAGCATGCAGTGTATAGCTATCCACTTCGATATGGCGTTTTTTGATCGCTTGTCTTGCTTTTGTTTATCTACTTCTCCCACACACTGCATCCAGCTTAGTCTGCCGAAGCCTCCCTCCGCTGCTTGTTTGGGTGGGTGATTTCCAGGCTGATCAACATCCCGTCCCTCCTGTGACCCATGGTTTGACTTTGTGTATTCATAGCCAGTGACCAACGGACTTTCAAAATAATAATAATAATAAAAACTGCGTTAACGTGGGTCGTTAATTGGTGTTAGTTAATGCGTTCACGTGATAATAACACGCTAACTTGCCCAGCACTAGTAATATTATTACTTTTTGAAGGAGTAATAACTAACTTTGAAATTAACAGCTACTGTGAACTTAAGAAGGACTTTGTAGCTCAGTTCTGGTCTCTGTTAAGAAAAAGTTTTAAGTGTGAGTGTCAAAATAATACAGCAATTATTTTTTTCTTTTGTTCGTTACTATTACTTTCATTCATCAGTTCCATTCCAATGTTATTTATATATATATATATAAACATATGATATACCATTCAGATATACAGTTTTGCGTTTGTTTGTCTGAAACCTATGTTCAGAATAATGAAAATTCACTGCATTACGCATTTTTTAGCCTTAATGTGTTCTGCAGTAACTATCCCTACACCTCCAAGTACACCTCCGACTGCAGCTCCCGCTGCAGCTCCTATTGGGATTCCAACCGTGCTACCAACAAAGTGAGATATTGCTCCTCCAAGACCTGCTCCAGCCAGAGCAGAGCCATTCACAGAGAGAGCAATTCTCTTCCGAAGTCCAGAACGTTTTCCTTCTTTCTCAGCCTCTTTGAAGCTTTCATCAGTGTAGCACTTTCCTCCATTTTCTTTAACCATGTTGTTGATCTTCTCCAGTAGCTCGGTGGCTTCAGACAGTGTCTTATCTTTGTTGTCGATAACGTGTGGTCCCCCTTTACATGTGTCAACAAAGTGTTTGAGATCTCCGCTGTCTTCGACAAACATTTTTATGGTTTTTCCCTTTTTCTTCAGTTGATCTCCATGGGTGAACAAAGCCACAGTGTAAGTTGCTGCCTTTTCACCAAAGGTCTTCTTGATAATTCAACTGTGTCCTGGTCTTCTTTTGTAAATCTATCCAAATTCAGCACGAAGAGGAACACATGAGGACCAGGATCAGTTAATGAGACACATTTTTTAATCTCCTCCATCACCTCCTCGTCTGTTTTATCTGGGTTACACAGACCTGGAGTGTCAACAACCACCACAGTTTGTCCTCCGATCTTTGCTTCACTTTTCTGTGTCAGGGAGAACTTCTTCTGAGCTCATCAGGAGGGTTTTCATGACTGAGGTCTTCCCAACTCCAACCTTCCCAATGAGTGCAATCCTCAGCTCTGTTGGAAAATATCACACAAACATCAGTGGGGGAAGATTTTTTAATGAAATTAATTTTCATTTTAATGCAGTGAAGGTAGCAATACCACAGTGTACAAATACTCTGTTACAAGTCAAGCATTATTTTATCCCTAATTTTAGTATGTAGTCATTTTAACCCAAACCATGATCTTTCCCTAAACTTAGGTGTATTTGTGCATACACCTACCCAAACCTTAACCACAGTCACATCATGATTTTGAACAGTTTAGGAAGAGACAGACAAATTGTGTCATCGTGCTGATAGTGAAGAGTTGTACAAGAGGACATGGACAGACGATATATTTTGTAATTCCCCTAAAGACTTTCCACCCAAACAACGTATTAGTAGCACTATGATGTTCAGTGTAGTGAGGCCGGCGCAGACCTATATACTGGGGAAATGAAAAACCACCACACAAACGCATTGCTCAACACACATCTGAAGGTTAAGGGTCTTTCTGGGACAACAATGTACACATTTTTGACGGGGAGCACCGATGGTTTGAAAGAGAGTCAAGGAGACCATTTACACCCAAGTAAAGATACCATCTCTTAACAAGGGAGGAGGTCTGCATCATTTATCCCCCACCTACAATGCTTTCCTTTCATCTCTTCCCAGGGGACTGAACAAATGCTAGCATTGTGCCTCAGCCGTCATTCAGACCTGGCCTCGCGTGACCAGGAGCACTAACAAACCAAGCGGTATCCATCACCTTGATAAAGAACCCACAGGGGACACTCCTTTCCAGTCAGTCAGAACTGAAGAAGCCTCTTGGATGAGAGGCGAAACATTCAAGTATGTAAGTAAGTCCACTCACCCATGATATTAACAGTTTCTAGATTTGAAAATTTTTATTTTAATGGTTAATTTTGTGATGTAGTGTTGTTACATAAAAGTTATAGCTAGCAGTAATAAAATTAAAGTTATTAGATCATCAATTAAAAGTTGAATTTCATCCAAAAATGCTTAAGCCATCCACATTCTGTCTTGATGCTCCACCAACAAGCTTTTTTTGGCAACAGATTTGCAGCAGATATTCAATACATAGTCTGTCATCCCAAAGCCTTGACAACTGTAGTCATTAAATCTATTGATAATCTATCAAGAGTAGTCTTGATGCATCTCAGATTAACATCTACAGACCAATATCAAGCCTTCACTATTAAACTAAAATAATTGAGACAAGCTCTGAATAATTCTCAGAATTATATTAATTTATAAACTGATTCAGGCAAGATTTCAGTTCTAGTCTTATTAGATGTATATGCCTTTTACACATTGACCATACAGTACTAATGGACAGACTCCAAAACTGGGTCCGGCTCTCACAATGCCAAAAAGTCCTAATTTCAGGACAGGGTTATGCATCTGAAAGGACCAACATGATGTGTGGATGTGGAGGTGGCATGGTTTGCATTCAGCTGCAGTGGGGAGAGGTAGGGTGAGGTGGCTCAGGTGAGCAGAGCCAGGGAGAGCAAATTGTCACAGCTACTGTTCATTCATTAATTATGCTCTCCTTCTAAATGCAGTAGTGTGCTGGACCTTAGATGGCTGCTGCCTGCCATGAAACGAAGAACAGCCAGTATGTGAGCAAGTTTGTGTTGGACGCTGGTGTTACAGGCAGAGGACTGCCTGGAGGGACCAGTGTGAACGAGCCGGGAAGCGCACGGCCGACCTGGGCAAAGAACTTTATGTTGAAGTGTATATGTGTACGGCAGTGTGTGAAATAAAGTCACTGGTTAGACAAGCTCCTGAGTTGGCATCTGTACTGGGGTTACCCGTAGCAAGAGGCTTCTGCTACAGTGGAGTTCCCCAAAGCTCAATCCTTAGACCTCTTCTATTGACCATTTAAAAGCAAGTATCATAATTATGCAGATGACACCCACATTTACCACATTTGCTCTGTAACCAAGTTACAACAGTCCTATAGATTCTCTCTGCAAGGAAATCGATCAAATAATATATTGGACATGTTCAAACCTTCTCCAGCTAAAGATCGACAAAACTGACTGTCCTGGTGCAAAAGAAGGAAGACAGACAGTTATCGCTCATCTCAACAAAACCAAAACCCAAGTCAGAAATGTTGGTGTCATTTTGGACTAAGTTAAACAGTTAAATCAAGTTTTTATTGTACCATATTAAAAACATAATATCATGGGATTTATGACCAGGCAGGACTTTTCCATGCTTTTTGTTCCAGCAGGTTAGAGTTCTCTGGTGGTCTTATTTTTTTTTTTCAGGTCTCCCCAAAAACTCTGACAACTTCAGCACATTCAGAAAGCTACTAGAGACAGACCAAGACCAATAAAACTGAACACAACACTTTTTAGTACTCTTCACTGGTTTCCAGCATGTCTGAGAACAGAGCTAATAATCTCTAAAATGCTTCAGACTGGAATACATCTGTCTTTTACCAAATTATATTTAATGCATGTCTTTGTTGTTAACTTTTTAATTTATTTGTTATGTGTTTAATACATTATGTAAATCACTTATGAAATATGCTATACAAATAAACCTGGAAAAAAGGTTTTTGCTATGGCTTGATTTGAATAAAAAGCAAACACACAGGTCAAGTTTTAGCCAGCCAACATAAAGTTGTCATAATGACAAACTATATATTTGGGAAGTACACAAATGCTGTTAAGTCATCAAATACTACATAATACATTTTTGGAAAACATATTGGGATAATAAACAAATTAATTCTGATAAAGCAAGTGTTGTATAATAGAGTAAAAGCGGTCTAATTGGCAAATGAGAGCTGACAGACATCATGGATATAACTGATGAACTTCTTTATATTAGAGAAAAAGATTATTGTGCCATATATAAACCCAAACACTACACAGAGCATTAGTACTGTCAAAGAAATATACTTACGAGAAAGTAGAAATTCTTCACTGGCCATCTTTGTCTTGTGAAGGCAGCAGATCTGTGATGTCTTGTCACTGTGGATGTCTTGAATTTCCATCTCATCATTATATATTATAGCCTGCTCCTAGGCCCCTCCCCTTAAATACACATCACCTGTTCCTACCCAAAATCTGACCAGTCACAGTTCAGAAATAAAAATGTAGCTGCAGGCAAGAAATCAGGGGGCTGAGTACTGCGTAGAGTACATTTGTACAGGTATTGAGAACTGTTTACCAGAGAAATTTGTCAGCTACATTCACACATGGACTTGAAGTTTTGAGTATAATTTTTCTGTTCAACAGTAATGACGGAAAAATCCAACAGACGTGACCATTTTAAAATAAATGCAATTCCATTATGGACACACTGATATGGAAATTTTTAATGAGTTTTTGAGGATTTTTAATCCAACCAGGTTTACAATGCACATTTCACATTCTTCCTATATCCACCATAATCAACTTAAATGAGAACTGCTTTTATAACCTTGTTGGAGGGATATTTAAAAATGTATATCATCTTGTTTATCCAACTTCTCCATCATGAGCTATGCGGAATGACCAAAAAAAATGAGACTGTGGATACAAGCCAAAATTCTTGCAGACTTTCCTACAGATATGTTACATTTGCCAAAGTTGTCCACCCTGCTGGGGTGTTTATTCTGAATCCCCTCTGAGATACCACTGAGGGTATCTTTCTGAAGGTCTGTCTGTACCATCCTTGGGTATTTCGTTAGACAAGGTACTTCCTGCCCCAGGTGCCATCTTTCCGAGCTGCCATCTGTCTCTACAGTTGTCACCAACCTGTTCTTGGTTGTCACCTAATTTGTTCCTGGGCTTGTATCAGACCCAGTCCCATCAGCACCCTAAGGGTAAGGCAAGGTCTTCACCTGTGCATCTGAACTGCTCTGGCCTGCTTTCACACGTGGGAATTTGTGTTAATTTTTTATACAATCCAAAGAAAGTTAAAGTCAAGGGCAATTGGACTTGGTTGAAGATACTAGAAGATGTTTCATCCCTCATCCAAGAGACTTCTTCAGTTCTCACTGACTAGTGGGGAAACTCAGCTATTTAACCTCTGTGGGGTTGTTTGCCGGGATCATCGATACCGCTGGTTCGTTAGCGCTCCTGGCTGCTGTAACAGCAGTCGTTATGGAACGACCCGAGGCCAAGTCTGAACAACCATCGTTGGCATCTTCACCTGAGGCCAAGAGGTTACATTTGTTCAGTTTCCTGGGAAGTGATAAAAGGACAGCGTTGTAAGTGGGGGATAAGTGGTGGCCTTTTCTGTTCAGCGACGGCTCCTCAACCCGGGTGTAAGTGGCTTCCTTGACACCTCTTTCAAACCTTACATCCTTTCTGTCTAAGGGTGCTTTCACACCTGTAGTTCGGTTCATTTGGTCCAGACCAAGTGAAAAAAATGATATTGTTGCATTTTAGTTCTGGTCCGGTTCATGTTCCCACTGCAGTTTTACAAAGAAGTAACCCTGACATTACACAGGCATGCAGGTAACTTGTTGATTGGACAGCTTTGGCAATTGTCATCCTGCATCATCAGGACCCACGTGGGGAAATCAAACTCTGGTGACTGACAGAAGTTTGTGCAGCAACTTTATCGCAAAGAGCACATGCACATTTCATCCACATACCTTTACCAGTGGCCCGGTGCTGTTCCTCTGAAGGAGTTGAGGGCTTTGCTCTCCACTTCTGTAGATGTTAGCCACAATAGGGGATACCAGTAAGCCCTTGGCACAGCCATGCTTCGGTCTGTAGAATCCTCCGTTGTACTGGAAATAGATGGTGTTTAGACAGAGGTCCAGTAATCTACAGATCTAGTCAGGGCTGAGGCTAGTTCTGTCATCCAGGGTGTTGTCTTGTAGTCGCTGTTTCCTTACGGTTTCTACTGCCTCCTTGGTGGGGGTGCAGGTGAACAGGAAGTCACATCATAAGACACCATGGTTTCATCTGGGTCCAGTTTTAGTCCTCGGACTTTGTTTACAAAGTCAAAGGAGTTTTGGATGTGGTGAGACGTGTTACCAACCATGGGGGCTAGGATGGTAGATATGTGTTTGGCAATGTTGAAAGTGACTGAGTTAATGCTGCTGATAATAGGCCTGAGTGGGGCTCCGTCTTTGTGTATTTTGGGTAGTCCGTATATGCAAGGAATGGCTTCTCCAGGATGCAGATTCTTTGGCCAGAAAGTCTTGCTCTGGTTCGATGAGTTCTCTGACAGGTTTTTTCACCCATCTGTTATCTGTTTCATGCGTTGTGGGGTTGTTGTCGTTTCTCCTCCAAGAAAATTCTCCTGTTTTGTTTGAGTTGCTGGCTCTTGACTGTAGGTTTTGCCAGGTCTGTCTTTCCTTGCTCTTGTTGTGTTGAGATAGCTGTGCTTTCTTGATGAAATCCATGACCTTTTCCAGTATTGTACTGGGCAGATGTGTTTCCAGTTTGTGGTGTACTTTGTCCACTTCTTTGTTCACAGCTTCAATGGTGAAATGGATCTGTCTCACTCTCTCTTTCAGTAGCTGGCATTGCGCTTTCTCCAAGATTATTCCTGTTCTGTGTCCTTTCCTAAGTGTAGGCTGTTGGGAATAAGTTTGTGTTTTCGGCATCTCAGGTTAAACTGTAGCTGGTTTCTGTAGTCTGCATTTTTCCTGGCTATCCTTTCATATTCCCGTACCAATCTGAGGCTGTTCATCCCAAAATGATTAGCAAGATGGCTCTGAAGGGCCCTGGACTTTAACCTTTAAAAACATTTTTATACATTAACTTTTTTGCCTATTTGGGGACCCTATTGGAACTAAATGAATTTGTTTTTTCATTTTGGCGCCTAAATATTCTCAAAAACTGAAAGAAATTGTGCACATTAGCAGCGGCAAAAATTCATGAGTCATGGGCATGGCAAAATTGCTCCATAGCACCCACTACAAAATGGAAAAAAATTAGCTCCCACGCCATGTTTTGTCCTGGATGCATGAAATTTTTGTTGGACAGTTGTGAAGCTTGTGAGTTTTTGCTTAATGATGTGTCTGTGGAAGGCTGGGAAGTTCCATGCTTCTCCGTGAAACAAGAAATTGTTGTAACTTCACTTTACATGCCAAAATTTACTCCCATTCATAGCGCCACATACTGGCAAAAGGAAGTAACCCGACACGAAACAACACTGCGACACGTTTGACCTAGATGCACAAAAGTTTTGTGGCACATCTATACCCTACAGCCTAAAGGAAGTCAGCCATTTTGATTTAAAAGTGCAATTTCTTTTGCCTTTTACAGGATCCACACTTTAACAAACTCCTCCCAGAGAATTAATCCAATCAATTTAAAATGCACAATCTAAAGACATTGGTGATGAAAAGTTGCTGAAGGACGTGTCTGTGATGTTGAGTCAAAACATGACGATTAACCATGAAAACAGGAAGTTGTTCTAATTTCAGTGTACCTGCACACATCTGTACCCAACATCACAGACATTTTAGTCTTGTCTGAGCCAAAGAAAACCATGAACATTTTAGTTTCCTCGTTTTAATTGACAATTGACATTACAGGCATTAAAAGACTGGTTGACAAAACATGTAGTGAACTTTTGTCTTGTTTTAGTTGGGCCTGGCTGACACCAGCTGCTGCTCGGCCCTTGTCTCTGACCCCGGTCCTTAGGTTATGTTTGTTGTTGTTTTAAATACTCCTCTATCCTCTCATGTCAGATACTTCACTTCATGCCCGTGTTTTCTACATGTATGACTGTTTATTTGTTGACAGATTTGTTTGGCTAATTGGACTGCTTTTATCCGATGTTGACCCTTACCTGCCTTATTATCCTGTGAGCCTTTGG